ATCACTTACTCACCCACAACTAAATACTGAATAATTGTATCTCAAATTGTATCCCATGTACAGTGGTCCCTCGTTTTTCATAATTTTATCCGTTCCTGGAGCAGTTACTATAAACGAAATTTACGATTTGTGAATGAATTTTCCCCATAAGAAATAATGTAAATACAATTAATCCATTCCTGACACCCAGAAGTATTAAAACAAAAAATTTTTTACACGAAATATACATGTAGTACATAAACAATACAATGGGAAATGATGAATGAAACATTAACAGCGTAACACTTACCTTTATTGGAGATTCTTCTTAGTGTGTAGGAGACTGGAGGAGGAGAGAGATTGGATTGTTTACAGTTTAGAAGGGGAATCCCCTTCCAGCAACACCTCAGGTACCAATTGCTTCTCTGGGGTTGCTTCTCTTCTCTGTTTCTTAATGCCACTAGGACCACCTTGAGAGTCACTAGTCCTGTCTCGCAAAGTAACTGTGGAGAGAGCTCTGTTTCTGGCGTCTCTTTAACACTTCCCTAAAATGGCCCAAGACTTTGTCACTGTACATATTTCTCACCTTCTTTACCAAAGGCTTGGCACTAGGAGCTTTCTTTGGAGCCATGGCAGCTTATTTAATACTTGCAAGCACTAAAATGAGTGGAATATTATGAAATATTTCGTAGGGGCACTTGAGGGGACCTTCACTCACTGGTAAACAATGCCAGGCTGCTGGGTAGGGAGGCCGCCCCGGCTCACACCGTGCATACGCGTCCCAGACGAACTACTTTTCGCGAGTAACCTATAAAAACGAGTCCATTTTTTTGAACGAAAATACCCCCCTAAAATTGGGGAAATTTTTTTCCATTTTGATTCTAAAAACCCTTCCCCAAAAATTTGAAAACCATTTAAAGAATCCCCCTTTACTATAAACAACCTAAAAATCCAAACCCTTTTTGTTACTTTTTTAAAAATTTTATCAGTTTTACTTTTTTTAACTAAATTACTTTCTTAAACAATTTAATTTTAGCCCCCCCGTAATCTATCAAAAAATGGTTTTTGTCATTTTACTGTTTTTTTACCACTGTATCATTTAAATTAAAAAATTAAAAAAATTTTGCCGTAGCGCATTTCAAGGTTTTTTCTTTCGGGAAAAAATAAAAACATTTTTTGTAAATATTTTTTCACTTAATAGGCAAAAAATAAATTAATAAATTTCCACTGGGCGAATCCAAAGGAACTATTTATGGCTTTTCTTTCATTTTATTTCTTGAATTTTTTTTCCATCAAATTCCTTTTTAATAAAACCCCAAAAAAAATGAAAAAAAAAAATATAAAATATACAAATAATAATAATTAATAATAATAATAATATAATAATATTTTAATATAATAATTTTAATAATAAAAAAATAAAATAAAATAATAAAAAAATAATAATAATAATAATAATAATAAATTTTTATTTATACACGACATTAAAAGGGTATACGGGCCTACTGTATCGTGACATACTACTTATAGAAAGCTGCTTGTTTATGTGAGTATTTCAAGAAAATTGGTCAGTGCCCGGGTAAACACACACACTAGTCGACTAACACCCGGTACCCATTTACTGAGGGAAACAGACAACGGTTGTAAAAAACAGCCTAATGTTTTTTACCCCGGCTGGGAATCGAATATTTACCAAAAATCATAAAAGGGTAACCCCGCCAGGTACATAAAAACAGCCACGTTTGACTTTTTTGGGTTATCCAGGTTCCTACAATATGTTTCTATGTGTGATAAACTATCGAGAGGGAAAAATAACTTTTTTGTTTAGGTTTTGTGCGTAAGAGTGAATATGCAGTTAACCCTGTGTTACACCCCTTTTTCTTTAAAATAACCCCAAGACAGGGATAGGAAAAGGTATTTGTATACCATATATCCTCTTCTACCTCCCTCCCAATTTCTCGGGTTTTTATGCCCCAAAAATTGTTCATTCGGAGTATTTTAACTGTTTTTATGTTATTTATATTGTTTTTTTTGTCTATTTAGATCAATTGGATAGGCAAATAAGCTGTAGTGTTGAATTACAAATAAAAAAGCATATTCTCCTGCTTCTGAACTGGCCATACAACCGACAGTGGCTTCAAAAACCCCCCTTATCTTTTTAACCCCCTTAGGTCCAAAGGGCCCAAAAACTAAGTGGTGCAGAATTAAAGAGTATATTTTTTTTTGAAGGGAATAAAACAAAAAAAGTTTTTCTGATCAGTACTTACAGATTTCAGCAGCGGGAAGTTACCCAAAATGACCAGGTGGTGGGAAAAATCATGACTTCGCAAAATCCCATTTTTTTTTTTTATGTTTTTTTAAACTTTTTTTTTTTTTCTAATTTTTTTTTTTCTAATAAATTTGGCCTGTGAGACCAGTATAATGTATATTTTTATAAAATGACACTCATTTTTTTCAAAACAAAAACGCACTAATTTGTTTTTTCATTATATTGCTTACAAAAAATTGTTTACAATTTATGTAAACAAAATGATGAAAAAATTAGTGTGGTTATTGGTTAATACAACAGTACCATTAAACATATGGGACAAGGGGCCAAGGGTGCAATGGTACCATATGGTACAAAAGGCACCATATTACAATGGTTCCCCTATGGAAAAATGGCATATAAAATGGACCATATGGTTTCAAAGGTCCATAGGTCAAATGGGGGCCATTAGGGTGCAATGGGGCCATTGGACAATGGCATCCTATGATAAATGGTACCAATGGACAAATGGCAAAATGGCACATGTACAATGGTACCATATGATACAATGGTACCATATTGTAGAATGGCACCATTTGGCACAATGGTACAATATGATACAATGGTACCATATGGTAGAATGGCACCATTTGGCACAATGGTACCATATGATACAATTGTACCATATGGTGCAATGGTACCTTATGGTACAATATGGTGTAATGGTACCATATGGTACCATATGATGCAATGGTACCATATGGTACATTGTACCATACAGTACAATACCATATCGTTCATTGTACCATATGGTACTGTTGTATTCAACACAAACAGACTAATATTTTCATTATTATTTTGTTTACAATAGTTGTTTACAACAAAAATATGCAAAAATATATATTAGTAATGTTCTATTATATATTTACAAGTGTACAGGAACTTTACGTGTTCCTTGAGGTGGATGACAAAGCACTTTGTCTCAGGAAACTGCGAAGTCAGTAGCTAGCTTGTGTTGCCACTCACTCAGTCTTGGCTGGTGTCTCATGCCACCAGCTCCTATTGACCATATGGTACACGGTGTATGTTACAGGGTACCATAGAGTACATTGTACTATATGGTAAAGGGTACCATGCAGTACAGGATAACATATGGTGCAGGGTACCATATGGTACAGGGTACCATATGGTACAGGGTACCATATGGTACAGGGTACCATATGGTACAGGGTACCATATGGTACAGGGTACCATATGGTACAGGGTACCATGTGGTACAGGGTACCATATGGTACAGGGTACCATGTGGTACAGGGTACCATGTGGTACAGGGTACCATGTGGTACAGGGTACCATGTGGTACAGGGTACCATGTGGTACAGGGTACCATGTGGTACAGGGTACCATGTGGTACAGGGTACCATACAGTACAGGACACCATATGGTACAGATACAGGGATAATTATGGAAATAAGTCACCCTGACTTTTTTGGATTATCCTAGGATTTTATACATATGCTGCTATGTATGATAATCTATGTGATTGTATTTCTGTACACCTGAATAAACTTACTCAAGTGCATGTGGCATCATAAGTAAGTTTATTTAGTTATACACAAATAAAGTTACATAGAGTATCATACTTAGCAGCATATGTTTGAAGAACCTAGGATAACCCAAAAAAGTCAGACAGATTTATTTCCAATAGGGTCCCTGTACCCTGTACTATATGGTACAATGTACTATATGATACAATGTACTATATGGTACAATGTACTACATGGTACCATTGTACCATATGGTACCATTGTACCATATACCATTGTATGACATGGCACCATTGTACTATATGGCACAATGGTACCATATGGTTCAAAACCATAGAATTCGTCTTCAGCTCCACTTCCATCAGTCTTAGAACTGTAAGCTGTGAAGAGGAGAGTCAGAATTCGCCCGGAGAGTGAGTGGGGAGTGAGAGCTTCCTTGCCGCCAGGCACTATGAACAAGCTACTTTGCTGGCATTCCCACAATGCCATGTGGGTGTCCAGATTTTTTCTATGGTGTGCACACTGACCACCCAGACCCATTCTCTTAGATGTAGGCCTACCAGCCTTCTCGTGCTAAATTTGATGGCGCTAGAATTTTGGCGTAGATCTACGGTTTGGACCCTGAATGTAAAGCCATAGATCTACGGGACGGACCTGAAAGGGTTAATGGATAATGTACTGTGTAGGTGCTTTACATAATGAGAAGCATTTCTTTTATTCACTGGAGCCATGGCTAGGGCTAAAAGTAAGCAGGTTAAAACAATAAATGGAGAAAAAGAAATTGGAATGACTTATGCAGCAAGTAGCACCACCAAACAGTACCAGCAGGTTGGTGTGGCAACCCTGGAAATTTGAAATTATGCTAGCCAAAATTAGTGCCGAATGAACTGAAGGAACCGAATAACTGACTGCCGGATTTGTGATGGCGGACCTGTATTGTAAAATTGTACTAATTTTAATATTTTTGCTACCTCTCTTTTTTGTAATAATTAATATTTACCACTCCATAATCTACACATAGGTATTGGAGTGGTAAATATTAATTATAAATTAATGTATTAAGATCAATCTGCCTGAAATGCACATGCATGTTACTGGCTTTCTTTGTGCTTAAGAGTATTTTATCACATGTAAACTACATATTGTATACTACACAAAGAAATAAAATTTGTTTGTCTATTTGTCTGATTTTCTATGAAGAGCCTAGGTATGTCAAAAGGACTCACCAGCTAGACGAGAAAAACTGAACTGGGGCACTTTGACACCAACACGTCCACAGCCTCGGAGAACATGAGTTGGTGTAACCTTCTCTCCAAGAATTACTTTAGTGGCACAAGCAACGAAGTCGAAGTCCAGAGTTTTGCTTACAAAAGGAAAAGACCGAGACACTCTCAAGTTTGTTTCTATAACTTTCAGATGATTGTCCTGTTTGGATAAAAACTAATGTATTAATAGCTATCAAAGTGAGCTTTTCCTAGCTCCTATTATTCTGAATAAGACCATTATTAAATTCAACTTTTTTATAATATAAAAAAAATGACAAGACTAAGCAGAATATTCAATGTCCCAAAATTTTTATATATGTAAAAGCAATATGTTTAAGGAATTATTTCTCCCACACAGAATGTATGGAAACCTATTAACCAACACTCAAGTACAGCATAACTGGCTGCAAGTAATGAAGCCAAACTGTGATGTTTATCATGAGGATGTATAAACCTGGAAAGGTTGTGGTATGAGAGATGTTAAAGGAAGAGTTGAAACAAGGTTCTGAGAGGTGGGGCCTGATCATCCAACACAAATATCTAAGTGTTACATCAGAGTGGAGCAACATGGTGTTTTGGGATTAGATGTATTGAGGGGGTGTAAGCAAGAAAATTTCAGTGAAGTAATTTAGGAAAACCTGTTAGCCTGAAATGAGTTCTGGAGAAGCGAATTAGAGCGGCTGCAGTCTGAAAGCTGACTGGGATGTTGTGGTGTGGCGAGTCAGGAGGTAAGTATATTTAGCTACATTACACAATTTATGATGATTACAATTGTCTTACAAAGTAACTCGTGTGAAAATTACCTAGAATAACCCATACAAGCCAAAGTGACTTATTTTCATTTGGGTAATTTTGATCAATCGCAATGCACTCCTAGAAAAACAGCTAAGGAGTGAGTAGTCATTCAAACAATAACAATATCCCACCGAGGCAGGGTGACCTAAAAAGAAAAACAAAAGCTTCTCTTTTAAAATTCAGTAACATATACAGGAGAAGGGGTTACTAACCTCTTGCTCCCGGCATTTTAGTTGCCTCTTATGACACACATGGCTTACGGAGAAAGAATTCTGTTCCATTTCCCAATGGAGGAACAAAATATTGTATGAAATAAATCCTGATGACAGGAGCAGCTAAAAACATGTAATATCTAATGCTTCAACATAATACTAAATATTTTTACCTTAGCAATTAGCTGCATGTTGAAAGGTCCATTGACTTCCAGGGCTCTTGCAATAGCAGCACATATAGAAGTTATCTTAGCAAGAGTTTCAGAGTTGAGATCCTGAGGTGGAGTGACAAGTGTAGCATCACCAGAGTGCACTCCCGCATTCTCAACATGTTCGCTCACTGCCATACATACAAGTTCTCCATCTGATGCTACTGCATCTACATCAATTTCCTGTAATAATAATTTTATATATATATAGAAAAGCTTTTTAAACAGAGTACAGTAGATCAAGGAGTACAGTAGATCAATGAGTACAGTAGATCAATGAGTACAGTAGATCAATGAGTACAGTAGATCAATGAGTACAGTAGATCACATAGTATAGTTGGTCACAGTACAGATCAGAGTATAGCTGGTCACACAGTAAAGTAGGTCACAGAGAAGATCATGGAGTACAGTTGGTCACAGAGTAAAGTAGATCATGAAGTATAGTTGGAAACAGAGCAAGTCACAGTACAGTTGGTCACAGGACAGTAGATCATGAAATACAGTTGGTCACAGTACAGATAAAGAAATAGTTAGTCACAGTACAGTTGGTCACAGAGCAGGTCACGGAGCACAGTAGATTGTGAAACACAGTTGGTCACAGTATAGTAGAATATGAAATACAGTTGGTCACAGAAATGTACACAGGAGGGAATGCATATAAATGGTCTCGAGGGAGACAGGAGCTGTAGCGGGGAAACAAGTGTAGTCAAGGGCAATATAAAACCTATATTACAAACTAGTAATACCACAGGAGATAGCAAGCAAGAGGACTCCACTAGCAATAGTGAGGATATATTACCAGAAACAACTGGTGAGAGCTCCATTGTTAGTACTAGTGAGGATAGGAATGAGACAGGAAAACATGCACCAACAGGGAACACAGTCACAAAAACCCAAGGCAAATGGAAACCAAGCCTCTGCACATATTATGCAATTGCTATCTGCAGGTATGGGAAATCTGGAAAAACAGATGGAACATGCAACTCTGACCACCCTATTAAATGCTGTGCCAATATGACAACAGGAAAATGCAAACTCCCTTCCTGTAAGCTTTTTTACCCTGAAATGTGCCCCTCTTCAGTACAGGAAAGACAGTGCTATAACTTAAATTGCCAGGCACACCATCTAAAGGGGACAAAAAGATACAAAACATCCAGACCATGGGAAAATCTGGGTAGCCACAGCCACTCAAGAGGGAGATGTTTTTTAGTGCCAGGAAGATAAAAAAAACCTGGCAGGAAATGGCAGAAATCGTACGCCAAATCCAGTCATTTCTGGAGTGGAACCACAGTCTATGGCCTCCACTCCAAACCAATAGATACAGATATTAGTGCCAGAAAAAAAAGTCCCCCCCAGTACAACCAGTCAGATGACATTCTTCTTTGCAAATATACAGGGTCTAAAGCCAGCAACAAACAACAAAATACCTTTCATCAGTGGACTGCTTGCAGAGGCAAGTGCAATGTTCGTGGCTTTCACAGAGACCAACATAAAGGATCACGTGGACAACGAAATATGGATCCCAGGTTACAACCTATACAGATGCGACAGAGTGAACAGGCAAAAGGGGGGATTTGGCCTGTATATCACAGAATCACTTATTTGCACAGAACTGCTTAATGCCTCAAATGTAGTTGAAGTTTTAGCAGTAAAGATCGAGAACCAAAACCTAGTCATTGTGGTAGTCTACAAGCCTCCGGATGCAACGTCCCAGCAATTCCAGGAACAGCTGTTGAAAATTGACCACTGTCTGTAAAATCTTCCAGCTCCTGCCCCCAACATCTTGCTCCTGGGGGATTTCAACTTAAGGCACCCAAATTGGAGGAATATAGCAAATAATGTTGTTGCAGTGATACACCAGGAGGCAGCTCTGACGAGAACTCACACACACACGAGCTTTTAAATCTCTGCACAAAATTCAACTTAAACCAGCAGGTGCTAAAGTGTAATACATTCATTATTTTGCTATTATAATCCCAAGCTCCTTTACTGATTACCACTATTTGTTCCCCACAACTTGTATTAGTTCCTTTTATATTGTCTCCTTTATTTTACCTCTAACCCTTTGACTGTTGCGGCCGTATATATACGTTTTACGAGGTGCCGTGTTTGACGTATATATACTCATAAATTCACACACAGGGTGGGAGTTGTCACAGCTGCTCTTTGCTGATGACACTGTGCTCTTGGGAGATTCTGAAGAGAAGCTGCAGAGATTGGTGGATGAATTTGGTAGGGTGTGCAAAAGAAGAAAATTAAAGGTGAATACAGGAAAGAGTAAGGTTATGAGGATAACAAAAAGATTAGGTGATGAAAGATTGAATATCAGATTGGAGGGAGAGAGTATGGAGGAGGTGAACGTATTCAGATATTTGGGAGTGGACGTGTCAGCGGATGGGTCTATGAAAGATGAGGTGAATCATAGAATTGATGAGGGAAAAAGAGTGAGTGGTGCACTTAGGAGTCTGTGGAGACAGAGAACTTTGTCCTTGGAGGCAAAGAGGGGAATGTATGAGAGTATAGTTTTACCAACGCTCTTATATGGGTGTGAAGCATGGGTGATGAATGTTGCAGCGAGGAGAAGGCTGGAGGCAGTGGAGATGTCATGTCTGAGGGCAATGTGTGGTGTGAATATAATGCAGAGAATTCGTAGTTTGGAAGTTAGGAGGAGGTGCGGGATTACCAAAACTGTTGTCCAGAGGGCTGAGGAAGGTTGTTGAGGTGGTTCGGACATGTAGAGAGAATGGAGCGAAACAGAATAACTTCAAGAGTGTATCAGTCTGTAGTGGAAGGAAGGCGGGGTAGGGGTCGGCCTAGGAAGGGTTGGAGGGAGGGGGTAAAGGAGGTTTTGTGTGCGAGGGGCTTGGACTTCCAGCAGGCATGCGTGAGCGTGTTTGATAGGAGTGAATGGAGACAAATGGTTTTTAATACTTGACGTGCTGTTGGAGTGTGAGCAAAGTAACATTTATGAAGGGATTCAGGGAAACCGGCAGGCCGGACTTGAGTCCTGGAGATGGGAAGTACAGTGCCTGCACTCTGAAGGAGGGGTGTTAATGTTGCAGTTTAAAAACTGTAGTGTAAAGCACACTTCTGGCAAGACAGTGATGGAGTGAATGATGGTGAAAGTTTTTCTTTTTCGGGCCACCCTGCCTTGGTGGGAATCGGCCAGTGTGATAATAAAAAAAAAAATAAATTCTAGCGGCTTCAAATCAAGCAGGAGAAAGCTGGTAGGCCCACATGTGAGAGAATGGGTCTGTGTGGTCAGTGTGCACCATATAAAAAAAATCCTGGAGCACGCAGTGCATAATGAGAAAAAAAAACTCCGACCGTTTTTTTAATTAAAATGCCGACTTTGTGGTCTATTTTCGTATAGTATTTATGGTTGTATTCTCGTTTTCTTGGTCTCATTTGATAGAGTGGAAAACATATTACAGAAATAGAGATGTTTTTGATTGATTTTACTATAAAAAGAACCTAGAAATGGAGCTCAAAGTAGGGGAAATGTTTGATTTTTGCCAATGTTCAAAAGTAAACAAATGATGCCATTGTCCAATAAATGTCCAACTAGCCATTCTAATATGCAGTCATGAATGGGTTGATGTTATTTATACAGCATTGCAGTAGTCTGCATAATAGTAAGTCTAATATTTTTTGTTTGAATAAAAATTCAAAATAGAAAGCAAGAGTAATATCAGAGGGGCCTGGAGACGTGACTGATGAACAAAGAAAACGTTATTTTAGAGCCTGGAATGTCTGCATTGTTCATTCTGGACCTTATTTTGAAATTGTCATATTTTTTAGTTTTCGTGAAATTGGCCAAATTGCAAATTTCTGACCACAAAATTAGGTAGTTGAAATCAGAAAATGGGCAGTTTCTTGTACTCAATCGATAGAAAAAAATGAAGTTCAAAAGAAATAGCTATGAGTTTGGACGACTAGAACAATGGAATTAGCCGAAAATAGGGCTCAAAGTGGGCGAAATCGCCGATTTGTAAACAGCGCCGAGGTCGCTAACTTCGCGAGAGCATAATTCCTTCAGTTTTCCATCAAATTTCGTTTTTTTTGGTGTCATTACAATCGGGAAAAGATTCTCTATCATTTGATAAGAAAAAATAATTTTTTTTTTTTTTAAATTTTGCGACACCAGGAGACACCTCAGGATTGGGGGTTGCGACAGTCAAAGGGTTAAAGAACTACCTTAGTTCATATATTTACATTTGTTAAAATAATTCAGGTGCTATTTTTTAGCTTTAGAAAATTTACTTTGTCTTGTACTTAATTCTAATTATAGATTCACTATAAATCTTATGATTACAATTATTGATCCTGATACCAACCTCTTACTGAAGGACTTAAATGAATCAAACACTAACTGTAATTACTACACAGCAGAACAATCAAAGGCACTTCTCAGAGCCAACAACAACATAACTCTCTTTAACTACAACGTCAGATCTTTAAGCAAACATTACGATGACCTCATAGCATTATCGAATTCCCTGCATGCCAGTATATCCATCATTACTCTCACCGACACCTGGCTAAAGCCTGATACTACAGATGTCTATGCTATTCCTGGTTACACAGCCATACACAACTGCAGGCCAGATCAACAAGGGGGTGGCACAACTATATACTACTCAGACCATCTAGAATGTATCAATAATACATACACAAGGGATAAACATGGGGAATATACAATAGCTAAATTCAAATCCAAATACCTACAAAAACCTCTCACAGTGATAAACATCTACAGAGTACCACAGTCAAACATTAGCCATTTTAGTGAAAACCTAGGAAGTATGATAACTGATGCACACATGAATAAAGATCACTTACTACTCTCAGGGGAATTCAATATAAATCTCCTGCAAGACCAGGACTCACACGTTACTGAATTCACAAACACTGAGTAACTGCTTGTTGCTACCAACAGTAACAAAACCTACAAGAATTACAGAGACTAGTGTTTCCCTACTAGACCACATCTGGACCAACACCATATCCCCTTCAAAATCACGCATAATCACAGATAATACCAGAGACCACTACCCTACCTTCCTCATAACTAATCTAGGCAAATTACCCCAAAGCACTACTAAAGTCACTTTCAGACTTCATAATGAGGCAGCCATTAATAACTTCACAACAGCAATAACAAACACTGACTGGAACACTGA